TAATAATTAATAATTAATAATTATTATTTATAATTTAAAATATTTAATTTATTTAATTAAAATCGATAACTAATATCTATTTTATAAAAAAAAACCACAACAAACACCATCATGAATATCTCTTTCTTTCTTTTTTGTCCCTTCATCTTTTGATTTATGAGCAGTCCTAGGGGCCCTCGCCTCCTGCAATCTCCGGCCAACACTTCCTCTTTCATTGGGCCACGTAAGGTTGTTTAAGCTCTGAATTGTTACCTCTCGCCGAACTAAAATAACGTGGCCCAATGAAAGGAGGAGTGTTGGCCGGAGAGTGCAGAAGGCGAGTGCCCCTAGCACTGCTCTTGATTTATTGGGAAGCTCGATTAATCAAGTAACGGAAGGATTAGTTATCCAGCAAACAGATGAATCCCTGTGTGCTTTAACAGAGAAAGCTTAACTGGAAATTTTAAGTTTACCATCCAAATAGTTTTTTTTTTTTTTTTTCCTTAACCAAACCCTCAGAATAAACTTTTTCAATTATTTTCTGCACACAACATCTGATCTCATCACGCTAAAAGTACACGCCATCTTCTTCGTCTTTCAGTTGCAAATAACTCCAACCTCCGTTTCCTCTTTTATCTTCTTCTTCTTCTTCCATGTTCTCTGTAATTGTGAATTTCTATTGAGTGAAGCCAAAACCAGATCGATTAACCTGATAATTTCAAAGAGCAAGACAAATAAGAGAAGGTTATCATAAACCACAACCCAAAAAGATCATTATGCATGTTAAGAGATGGGTTTCGGATCTGGATTGGCGTTTCCTCCTTTTGGTTTTTCCTCTAATCGCCCTTGTTGTTTTCTTTTCCCTATCGTCTTCTTCGGACGGTTCCCTTCCCCCTCTCCCATCCTTGATTTTCAATTTCAACCGTACTGTACCCTTCAACAACTCCTCTGATTTCCTCTCTAATCCGACCTTCCCGCGGCGGCCTGAGCCGAAGGACCAGCTGGTTCGGTCGAGGATCGCCGTGTGTTTAGTTGGCGGAGCGAGGCGGTTCGAGCTCACCGGACCATCGATTGTGGAGAGGATTCTCAAGGTGTATCCGAATGCGGACCTTTTCCTGCACAGTCCTATGGATAAGAATGCGTTCAAGTTGTCACTGTTGAAGGTTGCGCCGAGGCTCGCGACGGTTCGAATCTTCGAGCCGAAGGTTTTGCCGGAGACGGAGGCGCAGGCCCGAGTCCTCACCGCGAAAAACTCCCCCAATGGCATTCAGGTAATTTGGTGAACTTTCTCGCAACTGTTTGTCTGTTTCAGTAGTATTTAATTAATTTGCAATTTAAGTCAGGGATGTTTGGTTGGGTGAAACGGTGGGAATGAATGAATTCTTTACCAAATAAAATTATAATAATTAATTGAATAACTAGTTAACATGCTGTACCATAGGGTAAAAATACAGTTTAATTTTTAAATTTATTTAAATATTTCTAATAAAATAAAGAAAAA